TATGTATCCTATAAGGTGTTAATAAATGGAAACCCAAGTAAGAGATTCTACCCTAGTAGAGGATAGAGGCTAGGGGACCCTCTGTCTCCATACCTCTTCCTTATTGTGTCTAATGTCTTCTCCAAAATGCTGATCAATCAAGTTGTTGCAAAGCAAATCTCAAGTGTAAAACTAAATCACTCTTGTCCAACAATTTCCCATCTATTCTTTTTAGGTGATAGTTACATCTTCACTAAGGAAAATCTTGAGGAGGGGAGGAGAATTATGGACATCATTGGAAAGTATGAGCTGGCCTTAGGGCAATAGGTGAATTTAAATAAATTTGAAATCTCTTTTAGCTCTAACTTGTATCATAGAATCCAGAAATTGCTAGCCAGAAGTCTGAAGCTGACGTTAGTCACTAAACCTTCCACTTACTTCGGTCTACATTCCTTATTCAGTAGAGCAAAAGTAAAAATGTTTGACTATATAACCAGTAGGCTAGAAAGGAAAACTAGAAGTTGGAGAAGCAAGATGCTCAACCAGATAGGTAAAGAAGTGTTAATTAAGGCAGTGTTAAGTGCCATGCTATCATATTCAATGTCCGGTTTTGCTCTCTCTATAGAAATTTGTGAAAAAATTAAAAAAATCCAGAGATCCTTCTACTGGGGCTCAGATGGGGAGAAGAAGAAAGTTAACTGGATAGGGTGGAATCAGCTTTGTAGAAATAAATTAAATGGGGGCTTAGGCAGCATTTGATAAATCTGAAATCTGAAATCTGAAAAGTTAAAGAGATATTAAAAGTAATTGAAATATAAAAAGAGACATAGTTGTTTTTTGACTTTTTTGAGGCTCTGAATAAAGAAGGTTGTTTGTATTGGATCAAACCTTTAGCATTTGAAATTCATTGATTTTACTATTTTACCCCTAAATTAGACTATTTGGTAATTTTGAATTCAAATTGTACTATTCCATAAAAATAATTTTTAAATTCAAAATAATATTGAAAAATATGAATAAAGTATAAAAATAAGAAAAATTAAAAATACATATAAATTCATAAATTAAAAATAAATCATTAAAATTTAAAATAATAATAAAAATAGTAATAAAGTCCATGAAGCAATGAAAATGATATTTAATAATTAGAAAAATAATATCTTAAAACTATTAAAATATTTAATAATTAATAATAATTAAAATAATTAATACAAATACAATTTGTCTAGTGAAGAAGAAAGATGAACATGGTGAACAACGTATTCCGGTTGAATGTGACGATTCCGGTTTCGCCTGCCCACAATCCCATGTTGTCTTCGATGTTGTGAGTTGCACGATGAGAGATTGTTGCTGTTGAGAGTTGCAGCGGCGATCAAAAATGAAAAATAGAGGATGGAAGCAGTGGGACCATAGAAGAGAGAGAGAGAGAGAGAGAGAGAGAGAGAGAGGGCTAGAGGGCTAGAGGGCTAGAGGAATCATTCGTTGCCGTTGGTTTGCTGCTACATCAAGTGGAGAAGATGAATGGGGGAGGGAGAAACACAAACATGTCTTTAATTAAAGGGTATTTTAGACTTTTCACCAGGTTTGAAATGCATTTGAATGCATTCAATGCCTGGCCTCTTATTATTTCAAATCTGAATATAATTTTCAGACCGAAATTCAGATACACTTCCAAACACTTCTTACATCTAAAAAGCAACATTTTCAGATTTCAGAGGTCTGAAAAGTGTTATCTGACACCACTTTACGCTTTAGGGATCCTACAGTTTTTAATAGAGCCTTCCTAGCCAAATTAGCATGGAGAGTGGCAAAAGGGGAGGATAGACTTTGGGTTAAGGTTATCAAAGGAAAATAAAAAAAAAAAAATCTTTTCTCAATGATGTATTGCCTTGCTCTGTTCCATGGGGATGGCAAAGTGTCCTTAAGGGGAGAGAGCTGTCATTGAAAGGGGTTTTCTGGTTTGTTGGTTCAGGAGATAACATCAAGGTATGGGAGGACCCGTGGGTGCTAGGGTTGCCAGACTTCAGAATTTATGGTCCAAGAACTGGAGACAACAACATTATGTTGGTGAGGGACTTGATTGATCAGAACAGTAGACCTTGGAAGGAGAGCCTCATAAGAGAAACCTTCCTTCCCATAGTAGCAGAGAAAATACTAGGTTTAAATATAATATCCCTCACTTTGAATGGGATGACAGGTTGTATTGGACCCTGGATAGAAAAAGGGTCCTCAATAGTTAAATTGGCTTATTTTTTTGGCAAAACAACAAGATGCTCCTCAGAAAGAAGGAAATCTTGAATCAAGATTCTTTGATCAACTATTTGGAGGCTCCCAATCCCCCAGAAGATTAAAAATTTTGTTTGGAAAGCTAGTCTGAATGCTTTACCAATCAAGAAGAACCTTCTGTCAAAGAAAATCATCGATTCAATTGTCTGCCCCCTGTGTAATTCCTATGGGCAATCAACATTTCATGCTCTTTGTTCTTGTGTTTTTGCAAGTAAATGTTGGTTCAAGCCAGTTAAGTTTGAGGTTCCAACCCCGAAGTGAAACCCAAAATTTCAAAGGATGGTTGATGGACTGGATCAAGTCCTATTCCTCCCTGAAAGATAGTAACATGGCCAATGTTACTGTGGACTGGATCAAGTCCTCGTGTTGCTAGTTTTGGTGTAATTGATTGCTCGAGATCACCTTGGCTGTGGTGTAGCAGCAAAGTGTGGCTCTTTGAAGGCCTGTTCTGTAGTGCAAGCTGAAGCAATGGCGTGTCGTGAAGGTCTCTCCTTTTGGCGAAAGCCCTTAATTTTGAAAAGGTTCTGTTGGAAAGTGACAACGCTTCCTTAGTAAATTTGGCTTTTGAATCAAGATGCTAGCCTGGATATTGATGTTTCTTTTGTAGTGTTGGATTGCCTTCATCTTGCTTCAGGTTTTTCTCTATCATTTCTGCACAGTGGTAGGAGCTCAAACTTTGTGGCTCATTCGCTGGCGAAGAAAGGCTTTCTTTTGTCTGGCTCCTGGGTGTCTAGTTTCTCTTAGTTGCTTTCTGTTCTTAGGTGTTGTTGTGCTGTTAGTTATTTCCCTGTTTTCTGCTCCTGTCATTTTAATGTTAATTTTTGTTCAAATGCAAGCAAGAATTTCTACCAAAAAAAAAAAAAAAAAAAACACAAGCCATATTAAGTGGGAGATTCTTGAAAAAAAAAAAAGAAATCTCTGATATCCTAAAATTAACCTTTCGTTTGAATTCTTCGAAGAATTCTTTTATAATTTTGATAAATATTATAAAATCATCCTAACCCGCCCGGCCCGGCCCGATTTGCGCACCTAGACCTTCAGGTTTCATGCCTAATACCGTGCTGGTGCTGCATCCTGCACCATCTATCATATCATTGTTATAGACATGATACCTACATGCGGTCCATCATTTCATGGCAATAAGCACTATTTTCCCTACAACATTATAACAGTGTAATGATTAAAAGTTAAAACTAGTCCCATATAGCATGGATGTAATGAAACTATTCATAATTACAGGATGCTATAAATGCATTTGAAATTAAATATTATATTGTGACCAAGTCAGATTATTAATTACAGGATGCAAGTTGACTACAATTTTCAAAATGTCTCTGCTACCCAAAACTCTGATAATCTTTTCCCTCAATGGTGTTTAAGCAGAAGAAGATTTCTTTTTGGGGCCAATTTTTTGAGATTCCTTTCATGTCTAATGAAGCTGCTGGCCAAATTTTCTGCCCATGGAAAGTTTTGGCTTCGCACGGTAAAATTATATGATGTAAAAGTTATTCGTGTTGTGGCTATATTTGCAAGGAACACAATAATGGGAAGATGGAGAACAAGTTTTTGCCTTTTGCCTTTGTTGTTATGAAATGGATTAATGAAATTGCTTTTCCTTTTCCTTTTGTTGGTGATGGACAATCATCTAATCTTCACCTGGAGAGAGGATTAGCTAATAATGCTCCATACGAGTCATAAAATACATAGGGCCCACAATCTTTTTATTTTTATTTTTTTTGAAAATGGCCCGCAATCATTTAACCTCTCACTATGAGTCATATATTTTATCACTGGCATAGGGTGATATGGGTACTTGTGAGCCCCTCCCCAAACTCCCAAGCCAGATGAGCCACGAGCAAAAGAGTGCATTTTATGCGTCTCACAATGACAATCTGATTCAAATCTGATGGCTTTCATCTTCTCTTAACTGATTTAAATCTGACGATAATGACTGTCCGATAAAAACATTCTGATGACAACCATGCCAAGTGACACATGCTTCCCATCCTCCCAATTAGGAGTGTTCATGGAGAAGATCTCAGGTCAAATCAGGAAATTTTTAGATCAAATTCTAATCAAATTATTTTAATATAGAAATCAAATCAAATTGTTTTGGTTTCTAATACAGTTGGGGCCATTCTATTGGGCTTAATCTAATTAGAAATGTTAACGAGTGCCATATATTAGGGGGATAGGTTACCCAGCCCAGGTCAAATTGCATGGAACAAAAATATTAAATTACAAGTTAAAAATTAAAATTAACAACAATATATCAAATGTTAAATGAATATATACATACATAAATACTTATACATTAATAATTTGATTTACAATTGATCTGATTTCTGAAATTTGAAAACCAAGTCTCAAATCAAATCAAATAATTTCGAAGGTCAGACGAGACCAAAGTACCAAAAACCAAACTTTGAACTTGGGTTTTGCCCATTTGGTTCAATTCAAAGCGGTTGGGTAATGGGTGGTCTACAGTCTGCACCATACAATGAACACCCCACCCCTGCTCGCAAGTCGCAATGATTTTTAGAGCTTTGTGGGCTCGAAAAAGAGCAACTACAATTACTACTACACCACAGAATATGAGTCCCACATGTCAGGACACAGGACGACGTGGTGCATCGTGATTGGCCCTGTATCGTCCGGTAAAAACCAATATGTTACCCTAATTTGTTATTTTGAACATTTTTATTTTATTTATCAAAAATATTATCTATAAAATGGGGCATCGCCCCGGGACTCCTCACATAAATGCGCTCGCTTGGCTTGTCAGCCTTGTCTATCTCTATCAAAATATCATATAATTGATATTCATACCTCCGGGCAGATCTTGGCTAGAGAAGGGGAAAAATGGCCACTAACTTGCACGTTCATCCACTGTTCCTCCTTTGTTTTCTGTTTTCCTTGGCCATTATCGCCCAATCTTCTGTAAGATAGATCCACTTAACTTGCTTTAATTACTTAGGTACTTGCTATCAAGACATATATACTTATTGATCTCTTTCTTATTAATTCATCAGTCTTAGCTTGTTTATCTTATATAGGAGAAAGATTGCGTGTATACAGTGTATGTCCGAACAGGAAAGATAATCAAGGGAGGGACGGACTCGGTCATCAGCCTGGAGCTATACAATGCAAACGAATCGTATGTGAGCATCCCGAACCTGGAGAAGTGGGGAGGCATAATGAAGTCGGGTCACAACTACTTCGAGAGGGGGAACCTCGACATCTTTAGCGGACGGGGACGTTGCCTCTCTAATCCAGTGTGCGCCATGAAACTCAGCTCCGATGGCTCCGGCTCACACCACGGTTGGTACTGCAACTATGTGGAGGTAACATCCACCGGTCCCCTCTATAAATGCTCCCAGCAGCTCTTCACCGTCGAGCAGTGGCTGGCGCTTGACACCGAACCCTACCAGCTCACCACCTTCCGAAGTAACTGCCCCACTCCCACTCCCACCAAAGTTGCCACTAATTAATTATTTAACCCCAAGAAGACCACATGATGATCACTCCTTTCTACAAATCCATCGTTAGATCAAATAAACCTGCATTATCATGCTTCTTAGTAATTATAATCTGTGATTGTGAATGAGGTTTTAGACTTTTAGTAGTGGAAATACAGACATGATGATCACTTGATCAGATCAGTTTGTATGCGTAGTAATTTAATATATAATATGTGCTTATTGTGAGTTTTCTCTTTTTTCTTTTCTTTCTTCACTTTGTTCTAATACTTGTCCTTGGCTGAAAACTGTAACCTTCAATAATTACATTTTGAAAGGGAAAACAGGGAAACCTATATGAACTTTGTATAGGTTTTCCTACCTTTTTCCCCCCTTCCTTATTTTCAGACAAAATGTGGCATATTCTGAAGATTGACCAGCTTTTCGCGTGTAAGGAATAATGAAAGATTTTGCCATTTTACACTATAATTCACTTTATAATTTTTCTTTTTTGGTAAAATTTCTGATTAGTACCCTATATACTTTGGGTCTAGTGTTACTTTGGTCCTCAAATTTTAAAATGCAATAATTCAGTACCCGAACTTTCAAAATATGATAATCTAATACCTGCTATTAACTAATTATTGACTAGTAGTTAAGTGACATTTGAAAACGACACAAATGTCTTTCAAGTATCATCTAATTCTCTTTATCAATCATCCAAACATTGACAAAAAGTTAACAGTTTCAAATCCTTGCCTCTTCTATTCAATAAAGTTGGGGTCATCAGAATGCCCATTCAAACGTGACCCCAACTTTCTTGAATGGAAAAGGCAAGGATTTGAAATTGTTAATTTTTTGTCAATGTTTGGATGGTTGATAAAGAAAATTAGATGACACTCAAAGGGCATTTGTGTCTTTTTCAAATATCACTTAACGGTTGATTAACATCAGGTACTGGATTGTTATGTTTTGAAAACTCGGGTACTGAATTATCGCATTTTAAAGTTTGGGGACCAAAGTGGCACTAAGCCCAAAGTACAAGATACTAATAAGGAATTTTCCTTTTTTTTTTTTTTTTTTTGAAGTCCATAGGCAATTCATTCATTCATAGCTTCAACAAGCAAATTTTGCAATTAAATGTGCTAGTCTATTGCTTGTACAAGGCATCCAACAGGGCTTGGACTATCTTTTGAGCATCACCCTCAATCCAAACATGAGTGATTTGTAAGTCTTTGGTCATTTGAATACCTTCTGAGAAGGCGTGAGCCTCTGAGATATTAGGATCAGATAAAGGAAAGTTAACCTCTCTACCAAATAAGAACTCACCTTTGTGGTCCCTCAGAATAATCCCCAATCCAGAGTGAGAGTGGTTATGAGCTCCGTCCACATTGATTTTAATGAAAGGCTAGATTGGGAGCACCAAGAAATTTCTAGGGAGATCATGACTGAATTGGGCACTTGATTTAAAACTTGACTCAATTTCAGATTAGTCAGCTCTTCAATTTGGGCGTTGGTCGCAGCAATTATCGAAGAGGGCCTAAAAGGGGAGTTCTCCAACGCTACTTTACATCTTGCCTTCCAACAGTGCCAAAGGATAATAGAACATTTACTAAACGCACTAAGATCATTATTTGGTGTTTCATTGATTTTGTCCCACCAAAAGGAAATCCAATCCTTAACTCCTTTGTGTGGCCACTACTCTACTCAGTGATAAGCATGATCCAAACCAGACAGGGTGGAGGAAATGATAGTGAATAAATAGGTGATCCAAATCTTCCTCCACTTCAGAACAGAGGGGGAATAGATTGTCAATCTTGTTTGTATACTTGGAGAGAACTCCTTTCAGAGGAAGAACTTGGCGAAGAATTCTCCAAACAAAGATGTGAATACGTGGCGGGAGTTCCTTGAAACCCTAGAATTCTTTCCAAGAAATGTTTGGGGCTGCATTCAAATTATAAGAAGAATCAACACACTCTCCATTCAGTAATCTATATGCTGAAGAACTGGAGAAGCAACCGTTGGGAGTGAAAGTCCAGATAATCTTATCTTGGTGGGCTAGAGGATTAGCCGGAATCTCAATATTAAGAATGCTTTGAGCAATAACAGGATTGAATTTCGAGCAAATCAAATCTGATCTCCACTTACCTGAGTCAAAGTCAATGAGATCTGCAACTTTAGCATTGGACTGAGAAATATCTTTGTTAAATATAAAGTTTGGAACCCATGAATCATTGAAGATGTTTGTGTGAGATCAACCTCCGTGTTTCCTTAAGTCCTCCCTCGAGTTAAGTAAACACCTCCAGATGTGGGAGGAGGATGAGCCCTTAGGCGGCTTAATAGTCTAGAAGGATTCACTAGAGTTGAAATACTTTAGCTTTAGGTGTTTGGCCCAAAGTCCATTTTGTTTAGTCAAAAGCCGCCAAGTTAGCTTCATGGATGCCACACAGTTTTTCAAGAGAATATCTTGAATCCCAAGACCACCACTGATCTTTGGCTTTGTGAATTTCTGCCACCCTTGGATAGATATGCGCCTAACCGCTTTTGTAGCCCTACCAAAAATCCCATGCAACTGAATTCATTTAGGAACATATTGAATGAGGGAGGGGATCTGAAACCATCAAGTAAGATGAAATAAAAGTAATTAATAAGCATCTCTCTTCCCGCATGCGACAGACAATGAGTCTTCTGCTTAGCTTTTGCTTACATTGTTCATAAATCATAATAAATTATAACTTTCAAAACCCTCATGTATAAGAACGGAGGAATTGGCATCAATTACTCATTTTATCTCATCTTACCATATAAGGTAATAATTATAAGATTTGTCAAGGGGATTGATGATGATTCGCATAAAAAAGAAAATTGATTTGCCTTGGCCTTCTTGAATGTTCATAAATTGACTAAGCTGAGTGGGTCTAGCCATAACTTCCACAATGAGAATGCTCTCAGGTATGTTAACTTGGTCAGTGACCTGTTGATTCAGGTGGTCGAACCGTCGATCCGAACAGTGATTTTTGATTGTTTTTTATTTTAATTATTATATATATTTTAAATTGGAATGGGCCATTTGTTTGAACTGGACAATCGAACCGCTGATCCGAAAACCAGTGGCCAAAGCAGTTTAGGTTCCAGCTCGGTTTTTAAAACCATGTTATGAAATATGAATCAATTGAGTCATAGAAATTAAGCAGATTTTATATTGGTAGAAAAAATCTTATCAATTTCGAATGGAACTTAAATAGATTTTAATTTTTATTAGATTTTTAAACAATTTTTTAGCTTTTATTAATAAGCTTATTAATTTGTATAAATTTTTAGCCTTTTTGCATAAATTCATATTATTTTAAGCTTATTAATAAATTTGTCTAAATTCATAATATTTTTTTATCAAGTCATTATCTTAATTAGTTAATTAACCTATTAAGTTATTAATTAATAAATTAAAATTAAGTTATATGTTAATTAATTAATTTATTGAGTTTACTAATTAAAGAGAGAATTGTCCCATAGATTGTTTCTTTCTTTGAAAAAGGAAACCAAAATCAAAATAGAAAATACTAAAATATCGGCCAATACGTATCATTCCAATGGCTTACCGTCCAAGGGTTGTATCAGGTCAGCCACCAGTTCAAAGGGCAGTCGGGCCTTAAACCGACTCCTCTGAACCGGTTTCGAAAAAATAAATAAAACGTAAAAAAATGTACCAACACAGGCCAATACGCCCTACCAGTGTATCAGCCCGTGTCGGTATTTAGAACCTTGACTAAAATAGTAGGGGTGAGCATTATTCGGTTAAAACCAAAAAATCAAAAAAAAAAAAATGGTTTGGTTTTTTCAATTTTTAGAAAATTCATTTTTTGAAAATTTCGGTTTTGGACTTTCAATTTTAGTTTTCAGAATTACACATTTGGTTAACTGATGAAACTGAATTAATTGAATTTCATTATATAACATGTAATATATAATATATAACATATAACATATAGTATACTATATATTTATATATTAATATATTATATATGATATATATATATATATATATATATATATATATATATAATATGTATGTTAATGAAATTCAATTTTAACCGAAATAACTGAAAACCAAACAAAAAATTTTGATTTATTCAATTGGGTTTTTAACTGAATAAATCAAATGCTCAACCCTAAGGTACAGCAGTCTAAAACTATTTATTGAAAGTGAAAAAAAGAAAGAAATAAAAAAAAGGAAAAAAAAGAAAGAAATAAAAAAAAAGCTATCATGACACCTTATCTCACAGCCCCTTTTTGTTTATTTATTAAAACATACAATTAATTAAAATTACTCTTTTATATATATCCATGATAACGTCACATATAAGAAGCACTCTAACAACCTAAGCTGTTTGTACAAACACCCAAGCCTCCCCCCTCTCTCCAATGTCCGAACAACTTTGGTTGTTGGGGGCCAGCCAATAGCCTATGCTGTTAAGAACATTCATGGGCATGCCACGTTATCATGATTGGGGTAAAATAGTAATTGTCCTTTACATTTTTTTTAACTAAAAAAGATAATATGGGCATGAATAGATTAATGTGTCCAAGTCCAACCCAAAAACGCTCTCAACAGCACAAAGCCACAAACTGTTGGCCCCTAACAGCCGCATGGTTTGTGTGTCTCTATCTCTAATTCTCTATGATTTGAGCCCACCTCACCACCAATTAATATGTATGATTTTGTTAAGTTAAGCATAAACAATATAACAACACTTTGCGATATCACCACGATAATAATGTTTTTGCCAACGTGAATTAAACATGATTCAGAGTTCAACTGCTTTTGTTTTTTATACTCCTTGAAAATTTAGGGTGCGTTTGGTTCATAGGAATAGGGATCCGGAATCGGAATCAAAATGGATCATTCTGATTCTAAATGTTTGATTTGGCGAAATGGGAGTCCCTCGTATGGAGGAATGGTCATTCTCCCGATCCCTCCCTAGGGAATGCGATTCTCATTCCGGATATGGATATCTTTTTTTATTATTTTGACAAAAATGCCCTTCTCATTTTCAATTCAATCGAAGAGATTGGGAGAGCCGAACAAGGACTCCATTGCCATCTTCCATATTTTGACAAAAATGCCCTTCTCATTTTCAATCCAATWGAAGAGATTGGGAGAGCCGAACAAGGACTCCATTGCCATCTTCCATATTTTGACAAAAATGCCCTTCTCATTTTCAATCCAATTGAAGAGATTGGGAGAGCCGAACAAGGACTCCATTGCCATCTTCCATATTTTGACAAAAATGCCCTTCTCATTTTCAATCCAATCGAAGAGATTGGGAGAGCCGAACAAGGACTCCATTGCCATCTTCCATCGCCGAACCAACCTCCGGCGAGGTAAGGCCACTGTTAAACCATTATCCTCCTCCTCCTCCTCCTTCTTCTTCTTCTTCAAAATCAACGGCGAGCTGAACCAAACTCCATCGCCATCTTCTTCTTCCTCTCCTCCTCTTCTTCATTCTTCTTTCTTTTTTTTTTCCACTAACTGACTGGTTTTCTCTTTTGCAGATTTGCTCCTACTCTTTTTTGGGATCGATTTACTTCTTCACTGTTACCATTAGTGGTTTTTCACACCAGATCTAGGCAATCGGTGAGTATAGTTGGGATCTTCTCCTATTTGTTTTCTGTGATTCATTCTTTGGAACCCTTGTTCAATATGATTAGTTCAATATGCTAAAGCAGATTTTCATTCTTTGGAACCCTTGTTCCCTTCTCATCCCTTTCCCCCTTATTTTTTAATTATCAGTGAATCGCCTTAGCTACTCCATACATTTTATTTGTTTCATGAAATGTTAATTTAATCGATCGTCCAGTTTAAGGAATACACTAATACTCATTATCAGTTTGATCCCACCAACGGGGAATATTAGCTCTGAGTTGTTCTAAAATTTATCCATAAACAACACTTCTATAACAACCAATTGTGGATCCTCATTGGTCATATAAGAGTGATCAATACTTTTCTGTTGTTTTATCTTTGATCTTGTATCTCAGTTGTTTTCTGTTGCCCAAGGATAAATTCAAGATCTAGAATCAATGGGTAAAAGGTGAAAATAAAAGGAAAATATAAAATAAATCAACTCAATATTATACCTAGATTTATGTGATTTGACTTGTAGCATACATCCACTAGTGACAGAGGATAAGAAATCCATAATAGATAAAAAGTAGCTTTCTGTGTATACAGCTTCCATGGCTCCTAATACACCCAAACATCTGCTCACAAAATAAATAAATAAAATAAAATAATAATACACCCAAACACCCTCTCTCGATCTGTTGTAATAACAACAGATGCCATTATTTCTCTCCTCTGATTTGTTAGTACACTTGTTGGGATTGTTTTGGCCAATTCATGGGGTTGAGTAATGATCAAACCATCTACAACAACTAATTATGTTTTGGTTTCATGGGGATCATTTCTAGTATACAGCTACAACAAAGGGTGCAGACAAGAATGGTCCAATTGCAATAGGGATCATTTCATTATTTGGATGGGCATACATATTGGCTCTTACTTTCAGCATTCAGGTATTATTTCTGAATTAATAGCCAATTGTTATTTTCCATATCTGATACAAGATTGCTATTTTCAATCCAGGATCCAAGCTACTTATATGATGTAAACAACGAAACTGCTGCAGCATTTGTACCGGCCCAAATACTAATGCCGCAGGAGCAATAGTTTTACTCTTTGTTATCTGGGAATCCTTCTTCTTTGGTGGCCTTTCAATTACTACTAGTGCAGCCAGAGTCGCAAGTAAATTATCTCTTTACCTTACTAGGTTGTTTATACCTTTGCTTTTGGAACTATTCCTATAAAAAACCATAATAGTCCAAGCTTGAATATTAGAGCCTGATCTGAAAATCAATTTCTCCATAATGCACATCTTATTTTCATTGGCCTTGATGTTGACCTTAAACTTTTGCTGCAAAGTACTTTAGTTTAAGCAGAAAAAAAGGAAGTAAAAAAAATGATGATCATGGGCTTTTCAATTCAATCAATTGATTGTCTGACATTATTTTCTTTATATGTACTTCTACAT